CCCCAAAACCCCAAAACCCCAAAACCCCAAAACCCCAATTAGAACTTTCTTAATTGAGTTATACAGACTAGTACTCGCTTGAAGAGCATTCTGAGACTTCTAGTTCCATTTTGTCGCAGGACTTGAACTCGTTGAAGTATGAGTAATTGCTAGGAGACTTGTAAGTGAAATTAGAAGTTGTCTGATTGAATTCTGAATCCAATTGGCAAGGGGATACCTTTTGAGCTTTCTGATAAAAAGGAGAAGCCTTATTTTGACTGCATCTAAAAATACCCGGCTTGACAGGATCACATGGGTCTATTGAGCTAGATCCTGGAAATAATAGTGGGTCGTGTAGTGAAGGAGAAATTTGTTGAGAAGGGTTTGGAGAAGTGCACGGACTCAAGTATGATTGAAGTTTATACGTTAGGCTGCTTGGATGGAGTGATAAACTGGATTGTTTGTTAATATCAATCTCCTTTAGAGTCCTCTTTCATTCTTTGTCTACATTTAGATTAAGAGATGCTTTTATGATAGAAAATGTTCAAATTCCTCACTTCACAATTTTTGAGAGTAATTTATATCCTCATTTTCCTTATCTGAACTAAAATCATACTCCTCATAAAGAGTCTCAGTTTGTCTCCCATCGTTTCTAGATATATAATCTTCCTCCTTACAACTTGCTTTCCTCGATCAGTGTCTCTCTTTCCTCAACAACAATCTCTTCTATCTCACTACTATCACTGCTAAAAATATATAACCACTAAGTCTCACTCAGATAGTTGCCATGCCTTCTTCTGATCCCCGTCCTTTAAGTCTCCCTTACACTGAAGATCTTGTAAATCCTTGAAGTTCTATCCATTGCTATTATTCTTACCTGCCTAATTTCCTGCTGGCCAATATCGTCATCTCCAAACTCAGCAGTATCATTATCCTCACAAGAGCCTTTCTGCTTAGTGTAGTCGTATACGTTGAATTCTATCTCTTCTTCCTGGTGCTGGCTTGAGCCTTAAGAGTCCAATAGGTTAGCAACAACAGGTTAAGAGAATAGGAATGAGTATTAGAGTAATAGTAGTACAAACAAAATGGCTAGGAATACACTATTTTAGATACGCATAAGCAATCATGGTTGTTTCACCTACCTTCTTCCTTTATTTGACTAAGTGGCGTTCTTTCCTGGACCTTTTCCACAGAAGTTTCATACAATTTTTCTTGTGGGGAGGTTAGCGTTAAGTCAAAAGAAGGCGACTTTAGGTTCGAAGTCACTGGAGAACGTCCAAATGATGAATGCATATTTGAATCATGACATTTTGAACACCTGCTTGTAGTTTTTGAACTAGACTATTTGAGTTATTGATTTCTAACTTACCATAATTCCTAAACTTTGTTTTTCTAAATCTCTAAATTTTTCCAAAACTTCTTGAGCTTTCAGCTTTAAAATATCTGATTTTTTCTTGTATTTTTTTCATTTTGCTTCCAAATTTTTTACTTTATTCTCTAGATCGGTTTTCTCTTGTAGTAATTCAAAATCTTGGCAGTTGGTTTTCTTGCTATCTGTATTTGAAATTCTTTGATTTTTCATATTGCCCTCTGGCATCGAACTAATGTATTTCATTGCTGAGTTCAACTTTCTCTTAACTTTTTCTGTAAATTATATTTGGCAAAGCTACCTATTTGTCCTTCATACTCTAATTTTTGTTGAGATTTTTCTTTATTTTAATTTCTGATTTTCTTCTTCCAACTTTTCAATTTTATTTACTAGCTGTTAGAAATTATCAAGGAGAATTAATAAAGAACTGAATAAAAGTTAAAAGCATTTACAAACAAATCGTATCATATTAATTCAAGTTTTTACCTTATTCTTCTCATTTTTAAAACTTAGCACTTTACGGGTTAGAGTCTGAACCTCTGATCTGAGTTGAATTCCTTGTAAATTCATATGAAATTTAAAATTATTATTCATAACTAATATTTACCTTTTAGATAGAAATCTTGGGGTTTTGGGGTTTTGGGGTTTTGGGGTTTTGGGG